GCATATTAACGAGTTAAATGACCCCTAGCGGTCAAACAAATTATTCCACTTTTGATATGTCTATTATTTGACTGAGTGATCTCAAGAAATAATTCACACAAAAATCCGCTGATTTTTGCTGGCGCCAGTGTTTGATGGATGACGTTAATCTCTCTCTGACAAATTACCAGTCGTGCATCGTCCGTTAGTCCTGCAAATTCGGCGCTGACGTCAAAGACGCAATTTGGCGCGGTCCATCGCACGCCCCCACTGGCAGGGAAATGACAACATGTACAGATTGGGTAATCTCCAAGCAGATCCTAGGGTGGCAAAAGGCAGTATCAAATTGGCCAGGCAGTAACCATTGGCCAGAGAGGGTGGCGTATTAGACCCTCTCTGGCCAATGGATACTGTCTTTTGCCACCCTAGGATCTGCTTGGAGGTTACAGATTAGTTGAGACTGAGTTTAGCCAAACATAAACAGAATGCTATTAATGAAGGAATCCCATCTGAACAAGGAGGTGCTGAGTCACTACAGCGGAAATCGACAAAGAAACCCTAGCCCAGACGATCGTAACTGGGGAAGCACCAGCTAGCGGGTTGTTATAGAACGACAGGCTCAGCACCAAGGACAGCAACCATCTGCGATTTTTATCTTCTTTTTTTTTTTACTTAAAGGCAAATGCTTTACATTCTATCATAAAACACATGGTTTAGAGCAATTTCTATGTCTGAAATGCCTGAATGTCTGCTATTCGTTCTTGTGATAACATGTACAATTATGACCAGTGATCATAACTAATATTAGATACTAGTAGGTGATTGTTAAAGTAAAAAAGGGTCAGTTGTCACCCTGAAATAACAATTTGAAAGAAATTGCCAATATCATTATAGAAAAAAGAGCTCTATGTAACTCTTTAAAACTATTGATTAATCTTGAGAAGACATAAAGTTCTTCAGGAAACTGTCAATGTCAGTCTCTTCAAGTATCTGCTTCATCCGTGTAGCCTACTCATAGTAGGAGGAAGCCGTCATCTTTAATCACCAGGCAAACTAAACGCAGCATACAAGTCGTTAAGTGACGAGGCGATGTGCGGATGTGCGATACCCTCACCATAGAGACTATGTATCATCTGCATTGCCTGTTGATAACAGCTGACGGCTTTTCTGTGATCATCAAGGTTCGCCCAGGCCTTACCCAAGTTGTTGAGTGTCACGGCGATGTCAGGATGAGCAATTCCCTTACCATAGATACTTCGCATCATCTGAAGTGCCTGTTCACAATAGCTAACAGCCTTTCTGTAATCACCAAGGTTACCCCAGACGGCACCCAAGCCGCTAAGTGACCCGGCGATGTGAGGATGTGCAGTTCCCTCGCCATAGACACTGTGCATCATCTGCAGTGCCTGTTCATAATACTTGACGGCTTTTCTGTGATCACCAAGGTTCATCCAGGCCTTACCCAAGTTGTCAAGTGACAATGCGATGTTACGATGTGGGATACCCTTACCATAGATACCCCGACTCATCTGTAGTGCTTGTTCATTATAGCTGACGGCCTTTCTGTAATCACCAAGGTTACCCCAAGTGGCACCCAAGTTGTAAAGTAACAAGACGATGTGAGGATGTGCGATGCCCTTGCCATAGACACTATGCATCATCTGTAGCGCCTGTTCATGATAGTTGACGGCCTTTCTATAATCACCAAGATCACCCCAGGCATTACCCAAGCTGTTGAGTGACGAGACGATGTCGGGATGAGCAGTGCCCTCACCATAGACACTCTGTTCCATCTGTAGTGCCTGTTCATAATAGTTGATGGTCTTTTCGTAATGACCAAGGCTACTCCAGGCGTTACCCAAGTTCTTAAGTGATGAGGCATTGTCAGGATGTGCGATGCCCTCACCATGGATACTCTGCCCCATGTGCAGTGCCTGTTCATGATAGCTAATGGCCTTTCTGTAATCACCAAGGTGACTGCAGGCAGCACCCAAGCTGTCAAGTGACGAGGCGATGTGATGATGTGCGATGCCTTCACCATGGATGCGGCGCCTCATCTGAAGTGCCTGTTCATGGTAGATGACTGCCTTTCTGTGATCTCCAAGGTGACTCCAGGCAGAACCTACGTTGTTAAGTAATGAGGCGATGTAAGGATCTGCAGAGCCCTCACCGAGAATACGTTGCGCCATCTGTAGTGCCTGTCCGTAATAGCTGGCGGCCTTCCTGTGATCACCAAGGTGACTCCAGGCGGAACCCAAGTCGTTAAGTGACAAGGCAATGTCAAAATTTGCACTGCTCTCACCATGTTTTGATAGCTCCTTTCGGAGTTGCTGTTCAATGCATGACTTTGAGTGATTGTAGTTACACTGACTGTCATATACAGAAGCTTGTAGTGCTAAAGAGTTGTTGTAAAGAACAGAGGGCTGTTCTTGTGGTGGGTGATTGGTAAGCTCTGGAACAAGGTACTTCAACGGTGTCGCTGTGTAGTAGTATCTCATGAGCTGTTTTACATTGGAGAAGTGAAAGATTTTCTTTGTTCTCTCCTCAATGTCATCGTTTAGTGACATTGATGATAAGACTGACATGTTTTCCACTTGACCACGGTTGTTCATGTAAGTACGCAGCCTCAACTCTGCCGAGATGCTGACAAGGACCATCAAGTGATGTGCGTTCTCCTCACAGATCGATCCCTTTTCGTGCATCTTCTGAATAGTCTCCCAGATTGTGGTTGGCTGTATGTCACAAAGCAGCGCCCAGTAAGACACTGCAAGGCTTGAAAAGCGGTAAATTTCTTTCTTTACGTCCAGCATTCGGGAAGTCGGATCATGCCTTTCAAATGTTTGGATATTCTCCTTCAACATAGTGTTTGCTACTAGCTTTGCAATTTTACTTCCATTTTTCTTCAGTTGCTGATTCCATGCAGTGTTGTATTCATCGACCAGGCCTTGGTTTCCAGTAATCAAAGATACAGTTCCCAAGACACTCGCTAGGTGGTAGCCTTTCTTCAGATGTAGCGTGACGTCATCTTCTAGAACTTTGGCCATGTCACGTGGTGTGCGGATAAGGTGACAGGTTTTACCTCTACCTAGTGGTGTTTTACATGCATGTGGCATGGCTCCATCGAACGAAAACCCACGCGGCGTTACAGAGTCGTAGAACCAGTTGTCTAGCTTGTCACCTGATTCGAAGTCATTGAGAGACTTGATGGCCATGGCCGGGAGAATGGTTTCCCCAAGGTTGATCACTTTCAGGTGAAGGTAGTGCGTGAGATTGTGAAAATACTTCACACTGTTTTCCGTTTCCTTCTCTATCAAAATAGCAAACTCCATATCGGAGTATGGCGTTACTAGCCCTGTGGCTTGTGAACCCAGGCCTATCATGGCGTACTTACAGGGAGGAGGACCCAGTACCGCCATACACTCGTCTACAAGACCAGTTATGAATGTTCGTCGCTTATGAACAATAGTGTCAAACAAGGCTTTGATTGCTTCCACTCTCTTCTTCTCTACTTCCCTGATCTTCGGGTCGCTGTCGTCAAGACTATAACGATCTATCTGCTGCTCAATTCTTTTGATCTCTTCTTCCACAAAGCGGCGGCATTCTGTTAACATCGATTTGTGTTTCTCCACGTCATCGATGGGTACCGGTTTAGTGGTATTTAAGACATGGTTAGCAAATGACTGGGTTATTTTAAGGATTGTTTGTTTTATGTCCTTTTTGTCCTCCACGTTTGCTCTCACCAGTGCTGCGTTACTGAGCGCTGCAGCCTTGGTGAAGTCTCCTCCGTCTTTCGACTTCTTACCTTTCTCAACGTAGACATCGCTTAA